TTTTTTTTTTTTTTTTTTTTTTTTTTGGTACCGGGGATTGAACTTGGGTCCTTGTGCTTGCGAGGCAGGCCACTGAACCACTGAGCTAAATCCCCAGCCCTAACCAAGAAGTTTGTTTACATACTGTCTATCTCCACTGTGCCTCAGGCAGGTTTCATTTCAACCATTTGGTTCTTGTATTGAATAAATTTGATAAACTTAACATTTCATATTTCATTACATTATCTTAGAAAAATTAATGAAAAATATGCAATTTTCATTTATTGTATATTTAAATAATTGGACCAGTCAGTGGCTAAAGCAGGCAGTTAATGTAAAACATTTAGAACCTTGCCTTAGTATCTGCTCAATAAATGTTAGTTCATCTATCTCTTACTTTTCCATTAATTTATCAAATGCAGAAAGTCCAAAAGATGGTTTAAGTGACTCAGATCTCTAAAGAAACTTCTTCAATAATTTAAAATGTTTGTAGGGAGTTTAAAAAAAATATTAAATTGTTTTTATTCCAAGTAAACTCCTAAGAGTGCCTAGAGGTTTTGTAGCCCATAGTTACACAATACACAGTCAGATAAGAACACTTGATTTGTAGAAAAGCAATCTTTTTGAGAGAGAGAAAGAAAAAAGACTTCTCAAATCTGGGCTTTATATGTAAAGAACAAAAGTAGGAAAACTACAACCCGGATGTCAACATCCACCGTGGATCAGGAAAGGATGAGAACGTGAGAGCAGGACCAGGATGTGAGCCTGGAAGGGGGACCATCCAAACCCAGGCAATGTAGGGGCCACGTGGAAGCACCTCAGAAAGCTCACAGGTGCCCCAGGGGAGGGAGTCAATCCCAGGTGCAGTGTGAGAGGTTTGTGAGCTTCATGCTTGGCATGGAGTGTGGGACTACTGTCAACACAGCAGGACAGAATAGAGAAGCCACTTCCTTGGGAGAGTTGGTGTGGGAGTTGGGGGATCCCCGGTCACCCCAGCATAGTGAGAGCTTCCCAGATTCATAAGGGAGATGGAAGAGAGCTGAGAGGTTTAGAAGACCAGAGACATGGTTAAGCCAAGAGTGTCTGACATGGCAGACGCTGCATGATTAGAGTCCAAAATCCATGGCCTTCATTAGTGGATGGCGGTGTCCTGTCCTCAAATGCAGATCAGGGGAGTCTCCCACACCCTATACCAATGAAGGGTGCCAGCATCTGAGACCGAGGTCAGTGAGGTTCTGCAGCCAAGTTCATAGATTGACACTCTCTGCTCTCCCATCCCATAATGCCATCCCTTCTTGTTTTCCCTGCCCCAGAGACTGTTAAAGGGTAGAACCAGAGTGCAGCACTCTGAGTGAGGCAGAAAAGTCTTGATGTGGGGTGGGAGGGTGACTGACACACAACTTCAACATACATGTGGGAGGGAGGAGCCTGAGTTATAAACCAAAGTTAACTGAATTTCTGTAACTTTGGTGGGGTAGAGGCAAAGGAGAACTCAGAAAGAAAAATGGAGTTTTGTTATAAAAATAAATACTTGTTTGTGCTCATGTGATTGGCTTAGTATAATCTTTATACCTGCTTCAAACATAGGCCATCACCCTCACCCAAGAAGGTCACTAAGAAGAGGCTTCCAAATTCTTCCTTGCTGTAGCACAGGCACTTGTGTGAGAGTCTGCTCACTTGTCTGTCTGCCCCATTTGAACAAAGGAACTTCAGCAAGGCTCTATGCTGTTGACTTTTCCCAGTGTAGAAAGAACTTGGCACATGACAGGTGCTCAGTGGATGTTTATAGGATTATTTAATGCTGTTACATTTGTTACTGACATCTAGGAAATGCTTTATAAAAAATAACTAGCAAAAATCTTTGACATACACAAATAGTACACAGATATATCTATGAACAAATATATGACAGAAAAGTCAGCACTAAATTTGAACAAGAGGTACATAGCAGGAGACTAAATTTAACAGAGCAAAGCGTGTTTGTGAAGTTCCTAATTCCTAGAAATCATGGTGTTCCTCAAGTTCCTAGAAATCAGGATGCTTTGTTCTATAAAGAACAAGATTGTATTTTGCATAATAAATTTAACAGAAAAAACATGCAATCTGTGCTGAATCAGATGTCAAGTAACATTTTAGTAGAGACTAAAATTATAGGAGCTAATAGTGCAAAATAACTGATTCTTAAAACCCAGAAAATTTTAATTAAATGAGTGCTTTGCATGCAGTTGGCATACTACAGAGGGATATTGATAATTTTAGAGATACACAAATAAACATTTTTGTAGTAATATGTGTATTTTAATGGGTATTAGAAAAATATGAATAGCCCATAACCTCCATGACAACACAATCCTTAGTGCTTTGGGTGAGTGTAAAGAAGGTATCTGAAAGTAAGATGTGAATTGATTAGAAGAAAAAATGTGAAGTATATAACAATGTAGAGGGGATGCACTTTTGGCCAAAAAACACACAAAAGTAGTTGTCTTAGTTACTTTTCTTGTTGCTGAGACAAAAATACCCTGCACCCAAAGTTAGAGGAGGAAAGGTTTATTTGGATCACAGTTTGTAGAGGCGTAAATTCATAGCTGGCAGGTCTAAGGCAGGGTGGCATGGCAGAGGGGCATTGCAGAGGAGAAACAGTTCATGGCATGCAGAAGGCAGCAAGGTAGCAAGCAGCAAGCCACAAGTGACAAGTAAATACAACAGCAGCCCTCTTTTTGTCTCTTATATTTTATCCAGGACAACTTCCCCTAGGATAGCACTCATACCCAGCACCCCAACCTTAATCTCAGCATTACACACTCTAGATCTAGCCATCTCCAAGAAGCCCCATCTATTACCACATGAGACTTTGAGAGGACAAGACATAAGCCTTAACAGCAGTACTGGGATAACTATGTATAGGATTGTGAACATTGTTCTGTTTTTAGAAGAAAAATCCAGTCATCCAGTCATTTCCTAGTTTCTTTGGGGTGGAGCATTAGATTCACATCCCATGTATTAGACAAAGATAATGGACCTCTGGAGTTGTAGTTCTCATTAGGCCATGGTCTCCCCTACTGGAGCAAGTCATGGGGTCTAAACTGCAGTGAATTGGTGGAGGAGCCCCACCTGATGCCCTCCAATTTAGGAGCCCTGGATTCTGGCCCTGGTTTGGTACCAAGTCCATGTATGACCCTGAGAAAGTTCCTCCATTTCTGATTTGGCCAGGACAGTCCCAGTTTATACCTATCCCTGAAGCACAGTTATTAACAGGATTTTCTTATATGTTCAATAACACTCCTGTTTTGACAATAAATTACATGACTTCTTTATAGCTACAGTAAAACACCTTGAGTAATAAGTGCAAAGCTAGGCACAAAGAACACTAGCCAGAGCTCCCATTTCATTTCACCCAGAGGAGTTGCTCTTTTATCTCTTGTATGGTAGGGCTCTGTATAAGATATCATTTGGAATAAGAAAGGAGGAATATTGTTTTTAAAGATAAGAAAAAACTAAAGAAAGAAAGATAGATGGAAAGAAAGATAGAGAGAAAAGAAAACCAACTTCTGAACCACATGAACTTCAAGTTCCTTTCTAGGCCGGGTTTAGATAGATTGACATTCTGTGTTTTCAGTCCCTGTGGGGTTCAGTCTTAAGATTCCTAGTGAATGACAGTGCAGTGATTTATATTGCTATTTACAAAATCTCAAGAGACAGGAAGCTGTTTCCACTCTGCCATCAAAGAGAAGTTACAGAGCTTTAGTACACTGGCTGTTCTTGCCTAACCCTACTTCTTTTGATTATAGGTGTCATCAGCACTAATAGACTGAGGACTTCTGCAGAAAGTGAAGATTTCTTCTTACAGGATCAAACTGCAGTTCATGGTGAGTCTGCTACACAGTGCTGGGGGGCATCTTCAGTACTCCATGTGGGCTCAGAGATGGTCCTTGAATCCTGCCTCTGCACAGAATACAAGCTCAGCTATAGAAAGCATTCTTTCTTTGCTTAAGAGCGTATATCTCAGGTTTCTCCATCCACAGATGTGGGACAGTCAGTTTTTCAAAAAGTTCCTGTACGAGTCCAGAAATTTCATACTAATACTTAATCTCAGTGATTGCAAAACCAGGCCCAAAGAACATTAGCCAGCATTATTTCAGAGCTTGGTTGGGACTGCTCAGTCCCAACCGTGTTCTCTCCTTAATGTGACCCAAACTTCTATCTCTTCTGGGAATGCTGAAAGGAGTTCTCTTGATGTCTGGAAAGTGGTAGGTGGAGTTGGTCATCTCCACATCCAACTTCTTATTTAGGCCATTAACCAATAGCTACTGACAATCCTCAATTATGAGTATTGTAACATCCTATCTATGAGAAGAAAAGAGTACAAAGCAAAAGGAAGTTAAGTGTACAGGGAAGAAAAAAAAAACACCTCTTGCCTGCAAGCAGTGTACAGATTAACTTGAAAGAAAGACATAAAAATATGCCAAGCATTAGGGTAAAAGCATGCACAGGATTCAGTGAAACGCAGTACAGAGCTCTAAATCAGACTTGGGGGCATCTTTGAGGGCTTCAAGGAAAAAATGATACAGTGATGCAAACATTTTTAAAAAATCATTTCAAAACAAGGCACAACTGGTTAGTGTGAAGTGGTCAGATATTAGAGTTTGACAGTCTTAGGGTGGAATTCTGGTTCTATCATTGATCAGCTGTGTGGCACTTGATGAGTGGTTTGTGTCCTTTTAAAGGTTAATTTCATCATCCATAAAAAAGCAATGAAAATAAAGTCTATGTCATAGTGTTAATCATGAGAATTAAAGAAAATCAAATATGTACAGCTCTTAGCTAGCCTAGTGGCTGCAACAAATTTAATGTTAAATATTTATTTGATAATACTTTTAATGTTATTATTGTTTCACACATTAGTCAATTTGTGCCTCGATGCAGATTTTCCGAACATTTGGTTCTCTCTATATTTTCAGAAATGTTGCTGAAAGGCTTTACTCTCTTCTCAACAGAGATTTTGAAGCAGAGGCCACAGATGCATGTAGGTGCATAAGGAATCCATGAGAAGGTGCCCAAGTGTGGGACCCTGGGTCGATGCCAGTCAATCAGGATATTTATCTGGAAACCACCCTGCAATTTGGAAGTAAAGCTGGAAGCCAAGGTGGGAAAGGGTGGGGCTGCTTTCAGTGCTCAGCATCCCTAAGCACTTTAAATCTCTTTCCAGCTCCAGTAAACGGCAGTGTCAACAATGAGGCAGGCCCCCACCCCACTTTTGCTGGACTATCTTCTCCATCTCCACAGAAACACAAACAAAATGGAAGGAAGGAAAAGACACAATAGGCAAAATGTTAGGGAACATTTGCCTTTTAGAGTTCCTGGCAGCTTTTCTGTTTAGGGGTACAATTATTGGGACATTTAAAATATCATAAGCAAGTAAGACGAATGCTTTCTGGAATTGGCACAACATAGCCCATCTACTCATTTTATAGATAAGGAAACTGAGTCCCAGGTTAAGTCCGCAGAAGACAGGAAAAGAATCAAAGCTGGTGAGAACAGAATGAATTATCTGGGCATTGCTGGAGGTGAGGCAAAAGACTGAATGGGGAGCAGTTAGCAGCAGCAGGAGGCAGATTTCACTAGTAAAAGATTATTAACATTTGGTACTGCATGTCAGTGATAAAATGAGCTATGGTATTAGTCAGGACTCGCTAGAGAAATGGAAACAGTAAGACATATGTCTTACCATATAGTGACTCATACAACTACGGAGGCTGCAAAGTCTCACTGTCTGCGATCTGCAGCTTGGGGACTCAGGGAAGCTGGAGGTGTCATTTAAAGCCCCGAGAGCCAGAGAGCCAGTGACATGGGTTTCAATCAGGGTCGGAAGTCCAGAGAACCAGGAGCACCGAAGGCAGGAGAGGATGGATGTCCTAGATCAAGTAAGTAGGCAGAAGGAGTTCAAGATTCCTGGACTTATTTGCTCTATTCGGGCCTTCAGTGGATGGATGGTGTTTTCCAACCCTGGGGAGGGCAGTACACTTAACTCAATGAATGCATTGGTCTAAGAACACTTACGCAGGCCACCAAGAAGTGATATTCACCCAGCTCTCTGGAAGCCACAGCAGCACTTAGAAACTGGCTCACTAGCTAATGGGGGATGCTTTTAAACATGGAGAAAGAAACTGGTGAGGTGAGAAGAGGGATGCCTGGCCTGAGGACCCTTTATGAACTCTTCCAAGTCTCTGCTTCTAACACGTGGTAAAGCAGCCAGCAAAAGGAAGTCAGAATTCTTATGTGAGTCACATCAATTCACCTGTTTCTGCAGCCAGTTCAAACTGCAGAGGCGGGAAGATGGCAAAGAAGGGCATTTGGAGTTCAAACCGCAATGTCACCGCTCCCCGGCTGTGTGATTCCAGGAAAATCATTGGCTGAGTCTCTCTGCCCTTGTTCCAAACAGGGCCTGTGTTGACTGAATAAGATAATGTATGTGTGAAGTCTTCTGATAACTTGATTAATAATAATTAAAGATGGAAAATAGCAGCCAAACATAGAACACAGAACCCTAGAGACAAGACTTCTGTGTGTTAAAAGCATTTTTAAAAATAATGATTTTTATTTAGTCAAAAAAAATTAACGATTTTTAAAATTTATCAACACATTAATCTTTGTCTTTATACGTTGGCCTACCAATTTGATGAGTTATTTTGGTTCTCATTTTCTTTGCTCTTTTATTTGAGAATTTATGAAATCTGTATATATGAGTAGTATGAAAAGCATTAAGGTCCACCCGTCGTTCTCCTCTCTCATCTCTGCCTTCTGCAAACTTCCTTTTCTGTTACCACAGCTTGTTTGGTTGGAAATTTGTTAAGACAAATTTTGTTTTGTTATCAATATATCTTTGTACCTATTTTCCACCGATAATGAATATTAATTTTTAAGTACATTTTATCATAACTATACTTAAATGAATGGATAATAAATCATTAATATCATTCAGTATCTGTTACATATTACAAATTCACCTTCCTCAAGATGATTTTTTTTTCTCAGATCACACAAATCACAAACATTCCACACATCACTGCACTGTTTTATTATACCAAAGTATATATTGTATTGTAGAAAATATGCATTGTGTATATGTGTGGGGTATGTTTTTACACATATGTGTGCACTATTTAATGAGAAACATGATCATGAATGTGGTAGGATTTTGTACATTTGGCATAGTTTCTCTGCCAACCTTATGATTTCTCTAAATTACATGCTTGATTTAATTCATAGTCATTTGTTTGGGAAGAATATTACATATATATTGATGTTAAATTCTATCATTATGCTTATAAAATATAATAAAAATAAGTATGGGTAGTACATAAGATCCTAATGATATAATTGACCATGTGAAATAGGAAGAAAAGTGCTAAAGGTATAGAGAAAATGGGAAGGGTAGGGGAAAGGTAATAAGGGCAAAGAAAAAAATATGACAAAATGAAAAAAATGGAAATAAAGTGTTTGTAAATGGGGAGAGGAGGAGGGGGTGAAGGGAGGGCATGGATGAGGGGAAAAAATGAGAACCAAGACCAGTCATGTAAAGGTACACAATCCCAATAATGAACGTTAATTGTACTGTATACCTTAAATGTATCAATAAACTCAATTAAAGGTTAAAAAAAAAAGTATGGGATATAATAAAAAGAAACAGAAAAGTCGGATCTTAAAAATGTGAACTCTTAGTTGTTTTTGGATTTCAAATACAAGTATATTTCTTTTCTGTGCCAAGTTTTGTTAGAAAATGTAAGTGATACAATCAACAAGCATATGATATTTATCAAATTAATAAAACCAAGGAGTTTATAAATCATAAAACTTTGAGGACGGTTTCTCAACTATAATATATAACTTTGTTTTATTTGTAAATACAATATTTCAAAAATATTGTATGAAAAGAAAATGAGAAAGAACATATAATGTTTGAAGACCATATCAAACTAATAATGTATTTGGATTATCAGTCTGTGTTGCATAAATTTTTCTTTATTTCATATCCTTTTTTGCTGTCATATATATGTATATTTGAAATTTTTATCTAGTATCTTCATTTCTTTTTGTCATGTATGTTTTCGATCTTTAATTTAAAAAAATAAAAAAAAATTGATTTCTTCTCACAGCCACAGAGTGGGCTAGATGTGTAAGCATTTCAAAAGAGAGCATCGCCCTTGCAATAAACCCTAGGATGCCTAAGCTTATTGTGGCCAGAACTTTACAGTGTGCATGGTTAAATTGGAATTTAGATGACCAAGTCAAATATTCTAGAGCAATAACCACAACTGCATCACTTACTACCTAAGTAATCTTGGCGGAGTTATTTCAACTCTTTGAAAGCAGGTGTCTTCATCTATAAAACATGAAGCATTATAACAATACCTAACACACAATGTGATAGTTGACATGATTGTCAACTTGAGTAAGAAATGCCCAACTGAACTGGATCATTATGGTCATGGGTGTGACTGAAGGGATTTACTGAATACAGAAGACCCACTGTAGGTGTGAGTGGCACCAACCAAGCAGCTGGCAGCCTGAGTGGAATGAGGGGGAAACAAAGATGGAAGGCTCACTTCTGCTTCTTTAGAGCAGCTCCAGTCTTCACCTCCACCGTGGATGCCACCTCCTGCCTTCTCACTTCAGTCTTCCAATGCAGACCCTTTGGCCTTGTGTTACAGATTCTTTAATTTCTTGATACGGACTGGCATAAGGCGCTACAGTGAGCTCCATGCCTCCGATCTTGGCCTGGATCTTTGAGTTCCCAGCACACAGACAGCCCTTTGTCCTCTTCCACACCTGACTCTGTGGCTTGTCATTGTAAAGCCGATCTTATAAATCCCTATACAGTTACATATCTTGAATTAAATCTGCTTCTGTACTAAGCCCTAACTGATGCATACAGTAAGGGTTCAAGAAATATGTCGTTAATATCATTGATGCTTCTTTTATTATTATAGGCTGGTGCCTGGGAGGAAGCCAGGACTTGTCCAGGACCATGCAGTGGGTTATGAAATACAACTACAACTCAGCTTTTCTGCCTTGCAAGTTATTTTTCTCTCATTATAGTACCGTGCTGATTATGCCCCATTGTTTTAACTCGACTGGCTTGGAAGTCACTGAGGGAATGAGCAAAGCACATTTAGGCGTGTGCCTAGCTAGGTCGTAGAGATGCAAACTGGGGTGCCCACTGTGCTCCCCGGACCCATCCTTCCTGGTGCTGCTCCCTTGCTGTTTCCCAGCTGTGACGAAGCAAGCAGCCTTACTCCACCAGTTGCTTCCGCTATGATGTTTCTACCTTGGAGCTGGAGGTTATGAATTGAGGCCCCTGAAACTGGGGGCTAAGTTAAACTCCTTTGAGTCGTGAGTGTCAGATACTGTTTCTCAGCAACTTGAAAACTGACTAATACAAACCCCTTTGCTGTCTATGTAGCAATCTGTGTTCACAGAGCCAGTGGGTAGACGGAATTACATTTCCCATCAAATTCTTCAGCCCTAACCCAACTTGTGCCGGCCTCTAGTGGTCTGTACACAACCCCACACCCTATTCAATCTTGGCATCTCTCTAAGTCCTACCACTTCCTTAAAACCCTCCAGAATGTTGCTCAGAGACATTTTGACAACCACTCACTTAGAAACAGTGATCTCAAAACAACTTCAAGACCTTTTGCAAGACTTATCACTTCCCCTTTCTTTACTTTTACTTCCTCATTAGAAAAATGAGAAAGCTGTAAAAGAGTCAATAAATTGATTGTTGGCTGAGGACTGGGCAATGTGCTAGGTGATGGAACAAAATAATCTTGTTTGACCTTCAAAAATTTTATAGTTTACTGTGAAACACAGGAAAAGAAATAGTCAAATCTGAAGTTACAAGACTCAAAAAAGTACCTTCTCACTAACCATTTGATTCTTAATAGAAATTTAAATGGATAAGTGGGACTAAAACAACTCCCAAGTAGCAAGGTGGTTAGAAAAAGTAAAGTTTGAATTAGATCTTGTTACCAAAAAGAAAGGAAAAAAAAAAAAGAGGAAATGGCATGTGACCTCAAAGATGTCAAGGTTCATTGTGTCAAGGAATAGACCATTCAGCATTGCATCTCCCAGACAAATCCTCAGCGTCAAGTGACGCATGCCTGTATCCAAGTCCCTTCCGGATCTCTAGCTCCAGCCTGTTCTGACTCAGCTTGTGTACCTCCACCTTTGAATCAGTAAGTGTTTATGATGCCTGATGGCTGGACGCCTGCAGCAGTGTCCCAACTACTCCAGGGGACGGTCACCATTGTGCCTTTGCCCTTACAGCGCCTCAGGGTTCGCGTTAAGGTTCACCACCCGCAAATGGTCCAGCCTCTGCTTCCTTCCAGGCTCCCCTCACGCTGTCCATGCCCGCAACACTGGCCTGCAGTCCCATCCCTCTGTTGTGCTCTGTCCTTGGCTACTGTGAGGTTTCAGCTTGTGCTTTCTCTTATGCCTGGAAAATGCTTCCCTCTCTCTGCACCGCCTTAACCCCTCCTCCTCTTCAGACCTAAGTTCAAGTGTCCTTTCCCCATAAAAGCCTGCCCTGATCATTCTAGCAGGAATAAAAATAACATAACAGCGATCATTCATGGAGTGCTTACTATGATCCAGGTACTTTTGAGGGTCTTCCATGAGTGCATTCAATTTATTATCAATGCAAACCTATGCAGAATTGAAGATGTCGGTAAGCCCAAGTATAGGCTCTTATTAATAACCAAGCATCGTTTTATTAGCACTGTAGCATAATTAAAATTTTATCTTGATCAGAGCAATGATCTTCTGCATGCTTGCCTTCTTCATTGGCTCAGGGTAATGGAGCTGCAATTCCTGTTTAACCTCCCAAACAACTTTAAACAACATATGAAAAGCATATACCTGAAAGCCCTGGAGAGTGGACAAAGCAGACAGAAACTGGGATGGAGTCTACACGTGGGAATGTCATTGAATGAGATACTCACATTAAAAAAAAACAAAAAACTTTTCCTGAAAGCAGGCTTAAATATACAGAAACTGTATGGCTAAAATGCAGAAAAAATTCTGCAGGTTTTGATGGGTTGAAGAACTAGAGGGCAGATGTTGGAGCAGGGGTTATAAGTGACAGAGAAAATTTGAAAGGAGGAAACACAGAGAACCCTGAATTTTGCATTAAAATATAGTTCTCTTCTCTAGTTGAGCCTGAATCCTAGGCCCATGCAAAATTAAATCTAGATTAACTGGATGGAAATTGAAATTGCTGCCCAAAGGGCCAGGGATGTAGCTCAGTACTTCTGCTGCCTGCCTTGCAAGCTCAAGGTTCCATGTTCAAACCCCAGTACCAAGAAAAGAAAAGAAATTGCTGCCCATAATTCAAGGTCAGAAGAGTTTGAGGCTAAGTAAGTTTACTGTCTATTAAAATTCAAAATTAATACTTAATAAAGGTCCATAATAAAATCCAGGGTCACTGCAATATACCATCCACAATATTCTATATCCAGTAAAAATTACTAGATATT